GCACCTCTGGCCTGTACCCCAGTTCTGTATGAATAAATAAATAAATCTTTTTTTAAAAAAAAAAAAGAAAAGAAAGTAAGAGTTGGACTGAAAGTTCTCTTCGGCTCCTTGCATCTCTCATGCTCTACAGCTCTGTGACTCTTTATCTCTTGAGGCTACTATCAGAATCTGTCCCCTCTTTAAGTTACATATTCTAGCTGTGAAGACCACTACTCATCACGTTTCTCACTAGGCTGCTCCATGCAATACACAGTAAACTTCTCAGACAGACGCTTAAATTAATGAACATTAAGATTCAACGTTCTGTATCATGTTTTAAGAGAACCCTACATAGTACTAAACTGCTAAATTTTTTTGCTTTTCCTTTTCACAATCTAAATACGAATTCAGAAAACACTCAAAGATATTGATAGAATGACCTTTTAGGAAAAACATTGACAACTCAAATGTTGAGATTAAGTTTATTTTTCCTAGTTTGTCTGCTGCGTTCACTAGAGACTTGTGCCTGGTGGGGATAATCTCAGGGGGGTGGGGAGGCAGCGGGGGCTAAAACTCCTGGCACTTAGCCTTCAGCTTCCCCAGGGCACTGCACACTCTTAATGAGGGGTCTTTGGCTACAGTGAGCAGAGACCCAGATTGTGCACTGGCTTGAATAATGAGAGCATGATGACTCATAGCAATACAAAGGAAGGACAGACTTCAGGGTCGGCTCATGCCAGAGCTGTAGGCTCAGCTTCTCTGGGATTTCAGAGTCAGTTACTTAGCAGTGCTCACCACTTCTGCTGGCTTCATCTTCAAGATAAGCTTCATTGTGGCCACGGAGCTTTGCCCCAGTGCTAGGGTCTCTCAGCCTTGGAGCTGGTGGTATTTGGGACCAGAATTTTTAAAAAGTTGCTGGGAACTGTCCCGGGCATTGGGCCTCTGCAGCACCCTAGCCCCTACCAGCTAGATGTCAACAGCGCCTCAGTCCTGAGCTGTGGTAATCTGCAGTATTTCTACACATTGCCACTTGTTTGTGAGGATGCAGGTGAGGGTGGGGGCAAAGCACCCTTGTTGAGAACCTCTAGTCAAAGGAAGACAGACTGTTTCATCTAGTGGCTCTCTGAAGAGTGAGGAAACCTATTTCTTAAAAGATACCAAATTTACCCTTTTTGTCTTTCTTAACCTGGGTCTCTCCCTCATTCCTGACTCATCACTGGGGAGAGGGTGGAATGTCACTTCAGACTAACCAGGCCTCTAATAGTACTGGAGAGGGAATTTGCTCTCCTGAGGTGTGAGACTGTTGAGGAGAGGGTGGACACCTCAGTTACTGGGTGAGGGGTGGGAGCGAGGTGGGCCCTAAACTTGCTATGACCACCATTTGAAGTGTGTCTGTTTTCTTCCTCTCAGTGAGGATTATGGAAAGAACTTTAAGGACATTACAAATCTCATCAATAACACCTTCATTCGCACTGAATTTGGCATGGCGATTGGTCCAGAGAACTCTGGAAAGGTAAGAGTCACTCGCTCCTATAAAGCTGTGCTTGGAACTACACGCGGGTCTGGCAGATGTTAATGTTGGAATGACCCAGCTAGAATATTCCTGCTTTTTACAAGGAAACATTATTTAACACTATCACAAAAGAATGGAATCCAGCACATAGATTGTTTCTATGTCCCTGGGCAAGGTGCCCTTCATCGTGTCTTTTAGCTTTGCAAGGTAATCTCCCTTCAGACAGTGCTCAGTTTGGGGAAACTAACTACTCTCAAACTGACCATGCTCACATTTATAGGCTCGATGCCCTATCTTGATTCTGGAGAACATAATTTTTTGAGAAGTATGCCAAGTAATCTGTTTTTAAATAACTCTTCTTACTTTTGGAACTAAAATATTCCTGACATTGGAGCAAAATGGCATGAGAACTTCTGGTGCTTTTGTAGTGCTGTACCCTGAATCTGAACTTTCTGGTCTTCCTCAGGTGATTTTAACAGCAGAGGTGTCTGGAGGAAGTCACGGAGGAAGAATCTTCAGATCATCAGACTTTGCAAAGAACTTTGTTCAGACCAATCTCCCCTTTCATCCTCTGACTCAGATGATGTACAGCCCTGAGAATTCAGATTATCTCTTAGCCCTCAGCACTGAAGTAAGTCTCGTCCGGGAACTCGTCTTACGATTTGTATCTCCATGGGATGTTCTAGTCCCCATTCGACTGCTTTCTGCTGACTTCTTATGAGAGCAAGTGTGTAATTTTTGTGTTCTTTTCCCACAATTTTATATGCTGTCTAATCCAGGTAAATATATAATATCTAGTTGTCATCACATTTTAAAAATGTGAATAGATGTATGTTAGTGGAATGAACTAGAAATAGGTTAATGTGATCATTCTTGGGTTTTGAGGAACATGCATAAGTTGTCAAACTCCCACTGTTGTTCCTTCCTGTGACCAAACCACAGACTTGTATCTCCTCTGTTGCTCCTTAGCACGTACAGCACGTTGATGGTTGTCTTTGATCCTCATGGATTAGATGTCTGAAGTCTGGCTTTGCAGTCCTGTGCCCTCCTTTACCCTCCTCTCTTATGACCCCCTGAGGGACTCGCTCAGCTTTTCCTTTCCTCAAAAACCCATGTCCTTCATCACCACGTTAGAAGTCCAGAGCAGTTGAGTGCCAGCCTATGACGGTCATATGGTACTTTGCATTTATATGACTCTGATGTGCTTCTCAGAGTGTGGTCTACTGACCAGCAACATCAGATAAAACCTTTTGGGGGACTGGTTAAGCACACACATTTCCAGCCCCTGGCCCACCTATGCCAAGTCAGTGACTTTTGGTTGCCAGGTGGCCAGTATATTTAACAAGCTCCCAGTCGAGCCTGCACACTAAAATTTGAGAATCGTTGTGATGAGAAGCCTGGGGGCAGATGGGATCATCTCATGTGAACAAGGTAGGGTGAGCAAAGGGGTGGCTTGGGGACAATGGAGGACACTGGAGGAGAGGTCACTATTATCAGCCTTCTGGTGGGGAGAGCTCTTAGCAAAGAAGAGTCTGAGAACTCAGTATGGGTCAGAGTGAAGCTTAACCACAGGAAGCCAAATGTGTGGGCTTCAGATCTCAAAGCAGCATTGCCTGGAATCAGCCCCCAGCAGCTGGAGTCGCCAGCCTTTCAAGGGTACAGAGAAATCCCATAGGCTTGGACAGAACTACCCTCACCATTACCAGGTGTCTTCAGGTTACTAAAACAGGCTTTCGGCAGGAAGAGGCGGGTGGACTCTGCCTTTACCCCTGACGTCTCTTCCAATGGAGGCTGTTTGAAGAACAACTATTGAGGTGGAGAGGATGGGCCAGCTTGTACTAAATGCAAATATGAGGTCAGTCCCTCACTAAGCCCTGTCTCTCTGTGTAGAACATGATAGATTAGATGCTGGGAGATGAGCAGAACCCCAGGGAAGACTTAAAATGGAGAACTGAGGATGAGGGAGCACAAAGATACATTCTACCTGGGCCGGCCCTCTCTGCAGGACACCTCTGTCCCACCTCCACTGAACCTGGGCCCAGCAGGCCATTTCCAAAGTAATGGACACTGCCAGTCTCTGTCGCTTAAGTGTTTGCTGCACTTGAAAGTACGGGCCAGCCCTCCTACAGCAACTCAGGTGGCTTCTGTGACATCACTCCCTTGTGCCTTTATGCCTTTCTGACCATTCCTTCTTGTTCTCTTCCTTAGACTCCTTTCAACTTACCCTGAAGTCCCTACTGCACATTTCATGCCGAGCTGTCTCTTCTACTCTGACCGTTTCACCTGCCACTTATAATATAGGATCCTCCCCAGCCCTGCTTCCCCTGAGGCTTCTGGCTCCTATCTTGCTGCCCCCTGGTTGTCTCTAGCTAGATCTTCCTTGGGCCCCTGAAATATAGTATCACCCCAGCTTCCTTGCTCTTTTCTAATACATGCTGTTCTCTGATCCTGTGTGTGCTGGAGATTCCAGAGTGCCTCTTACATCCAGAATCTTACCCCTCGACCAGTGATTGACGTCTGTGTTCTCTCTCGCTCTCTTCCTCCCCTTCCTTCTCTTCAGCCATCCTGCAGGAAAGTCACTCAGTTCTACTGAGTTCAGTTTCTGAGTTCTCGCTGAGGCCTTTCCTCATGGCCTTGGTTTGGGCCTCGTTAACCGCCGTGGCAGTTATTCACCGCTTTTTGTGCTCCGTCCTTGGACTCTCTAAGATCCATCTTTCCCATTATTATCCAATATTCTGTCTAAAAAGTACAATGGCTGTCATTCGCTTGCTTGGAACACCAGCTCCTCTGACGGCCTCATCTGAATGAAGACCAGCTCCTGGCCGTGGCCCAGAGCTCCCCGAGCTGAGCCAAGCTGCCCCCCAAGCCCCTCCGCCTAGCATGAGCTCTGCCCTCTCCTGCCTTAAACCTGGGCTCCGTTGGGGTCAGAGACTTCAGCCCCCCGCGCACACGGCACTTTTTTAGTGCACACCTCCCTGCCTCTGCCTCACCTCCCTGCCTCTGCCTCACCTCCCTGCCTCTGTCTGTGGACAGTAACTTTGCATCTTCCCACCCGCCTCCTTTGGGCTACTCTGCTTTCAAAGGTTTAAGGCTCAGTTGGGCACACAGCCCGACTCTGATTGAGTGCCCTGGCCTCACTCTTACCTCACCCACGGGTTTCCCCTAATGGTGACTACATCTTATCAAACTCTCCTCCCATTGCATATTGTTAAACTGTGTCACAGATTCATCTTTGCACCCCCAGCTGCAGCGTCTGGGACAGTGCCTGGCAAGAGTACTTCAAAGCATTTGGTATCTGAGCTTCCAAGACCCCAGGGATCCACACTAACCCGGTGTGTGTCTGTGGAGCTCTGGCAGCTCGATGGAGCTTCAGTGTGTGTTTTCTTGTCCTGAATGATTGAGTGGGGATGAACTGTTAAAGGTTGTACAAGCAGCTGCACAGGATAAAGCTGGAATTTTGATAAGTCACTTATAATCTTGCAGAACGGCCTGTGGGTGTCCAGGAATTTTGGGGAAAAATGGGAAGAAATCCACAAAGCAGTGTGTTTGGCCAAATGGTGAGTAGCAGAAGACTCCATCTGTGCAGAACGCTAACTCTTGCCGACAGCGCTGCTGGGCACGCCTGGCACCTGCCATGCCAGGGCTCCTCAGGGCACTCTGCGCGCTACGAGAGAGGTATGGCACAGACCGGGATCTGGGGAGCTTCTGCTTCTACTAGGAGAGAAGAATTAGTCCCCTTAAACGTTAGGCTGTAAAATTAAAACAAGCCCTGAGTGGCTGCTGCCAGCAAAAATTTATTCCCCATAAATGACAATTGGAGCCGCATAAAATCCAGCCTTGACTTAGGGACTTGCATTCTCAGTGCCCAGATTCACATTCCCTCGTGTAGAGGTCCATTCCGGTTATGTGGAATGTAGTGAGGAAACAGGAAGAAAACCCGGAACTTGCAGATGCCAGATTCACACTGGCAGCAAAACGCCTTTGCCTCTCTCCATGCAACCCCACCCCCACCCCCCAGGGCCTGCTTACAGGTGAAATAGTGGGGGCAGCCTTCCTGGGATTCACTCACCTTTGTTGTAACCTGCCTCTACTACTAGTGACTAAACCTCTCTGGGATTTAGTTTTTTTTATCCTCTGGTGAAAGCCTTATCTAGGGAACTGGGGAGGGGTGATTAAGCAAGAATTGAATTAAGAGCTTTCATTTCTCTAAAATTCTGGTTGGTCCCAGACCCTTATTTAGACCCACTTCTTTGTCCCTGGTTAATTTCAACATATCTGTTAATGTGGTTCCCCCGTTGCTAGCTGCCTGCTGCCAGGGCAGGGTGGGGTGCTGACAGCAGGCGTGGCCAGCATGACAGCCTGTCCCGAAGCCGGGTGGGGGCAGAAAAACCAGAGGAGCATGTGACGAAGTGAACCACCCACGCCAGCGTGAGAGCCCGGGCGCTGCAGCCCCTCGGGGGCGGGGCAGGGCGGGCCAGGGCCGGTGTTCACGGGATGACCCGTGACCCCAAGAAGAGTCCACATTTGCTGCCCTCCACTTAGGAAGTCCTGGACATATAAGACATTGCTCATGTGTCTCTGAGAATTAACTAAGACAGAAAAAGTTGCTTGAGTACAGGGGCCTGTCCCAGAAAGAGCGGGCTGGCTGAGCGCCGCGCGCTGCAGTTCGCGGGCGCCTGCTTTTGCTTTGTGTGGTGTGATGACTTGTGTTTGTGTCGTATGTGGCCTTAGAAGGAAGTCATTCAACTGAGTTAGAAAATTGTTTAGCTCCTGGTAGACTTAAAATATGTAGGATGTAGTCAAGTAAGACTAATAATTTTGATCATTAAACCCATCTTTACGGGCCCTGTCTGGTGGCACAGGGTTAAGGCAGCGCTGCGAAGCTGTCCGCAGCCACTGTAGCACGAGCTTGAGCCCAGCCAGGGAGCTGACCCGCAGGGCGCAGCAGCCTCTCCTGTGTCCCGGCTGCTCCCCGCAGCAGTGGATTTCAGAAGATCTGCCTGTTCTGCTGCCCACTCTGTCCCTGGTGAATCCTCTCACCCCTGCACCTCTGGCCTGTACCCCACTTCTGTAAGCATAAATAAATAAATCCTTTTTTAAAAGCCCATCTTTACATTTGATCATACATCACCACTTGAAATAGCCTGCCATTTTGTCAGCTCATGTTTAAAGCTAAAAAAAAAGGTATTTTAAAATGGTATTTTATTTTGTACACTATGTGAGATTTTTTACTTTTGTCACTCCTTCCTTTGTTTAGTAGTAAGTGGAAGGTAACTGGGCTGGTAGCTATTTGTTCTCTCTTAGGTCTTTGATCTCTAGCAGTATATAGCCTAATGTTCTGAAAGATTTGTGCTCACATCCAGCATCTTTTTCTGGTGCTGGTGCAGCATCTTCTGCTGATAAATACCATCAGGGTCTGAGTCTTGTTCTCCACAAATTCCCTTTCCAAGTTAGAATTTAAATAATTCAACTTCTGACCTACTTTCTATGTGAGATGAAAGAATTTAATTATTTACATCATGCAAAACACTGAACGAGCATCTAGAGGGAAATAACAAAGCATAAAGTTGGTCCCTGTCCTGAAGGAACCAGGGGTGTCATAAGCAAGATAAGGCACATTGGCGATTAAAGTAACCAGGACAGGCGGACGCGCGCTGTGCAGATTGGCACGGTGAGCGAGGCAGGCGTTCTCGGCGTCAGTACAGGCGATGTTTGGCTCTTCCTTGTGGCACTGCGTGTGCCTTAAACGACGTTTAACATCATCTCTGGCCTCTGCTCAGTAGATGCTAGCAGCAGCTCCCCTTCTGCAGTCCTGGCTACTAGAACTATCCCCAGACATTGCTAACTTGCCCTTGGTGGGGGCAGGGTCACCCTCTAGCGCACAGAAATAGTAGGAACAAATGCAAGCGGCATATTTGGAGAGTGTAAGAGACCAGTTCGACCAGCTGGAAGAGTTTGCTTAACATAGTGGATCATGGAAAAAGCCCGGCGCCAGGCGAGGGAACCCGGCCTGGTGAGGGTGTGCCGGAGCTGGGCGTGGAGCGCGTGGGAAGGCTGTCCCGCCAGGGCCCGGGCACCACCCCTGCTGGGCCTGCTTGGAGCTTGATACTGTCCGTTGATACTGTCCGTTAGTTGTCTTGACCCTTGTTCCCCGTGTCTTTGCTTCACTCTAGGGGATCAGAAAACATCATCTTCTTTACCACCTACATGAATGGCTCCTGTAGTAAGTATATTTATGTTCTAGAAAAGAGTGTGCTATGGCCTGCTCGTGGTAGAATGTTTTGGGTTGTAAGAGGTAAAAACATCAAAGGTCCTTGCATTCTCCATAATTTTCATAGCTAACAATAGCATTAATGACTTAAAAAATTTTGAAAGTAGAACTAAATTGCTATACTGTGCCTAGATTAAATAAAAATAAATACAGGTTATAGACACAGGGACAGTGCACTTAATCTTAGCGCTGCCTTTACACAATGTAAATATAGGCTACAAATAATAGCAAATTGAAATGAATAGTTATTTCTGCAAAAGAGTGTGGATTGACTGTAGATATCTTTGGCTCCCCAGTCAGCAGCATGGCTTCAAAGCAGAAAGCAAAGTCTTTCATTTCTTCATTCAGCAAATTAATTTCTGTATTCCTGCATGTGTGCGTGCATGCATTTGAGCACTTGCTGGTAGTATGCGAACCACTCTTCTATGGATGGAGAGAATAAGACACCTAAAGCCTGGGAGCCTAAATTCAAGTAGGGAAGTTGGATGATCAACAAGAAAACCACAGTTACAACAAGACAACTTAAAAAGACAATAAGGTCATTAAAAACTGTATCACTGAGAAAGTGAAGTAGGATGCTGGCCGGTGCTACAACACTGTAAACTCTTCCCATCCAGTAGGGAACCTCCTGTATGTACAATATACCAGAGGTAACGCAGACCTGTCTAAAATAGACCTGTCTGACGCAGGTCACATTTGTATTGTTGCTTGACTGCCATACATAGGGTTAAAAAAATCCTCTAGGGCCCTCCCTGGTGGCGCAGCGGGTTAAAGCACAGCACTGAGAAGCTAAAGCCACTTCCGCATGGGTTTGATTCCCGCCTGCCCCGGAGGTGACCACATGGCGCGGCAGACCTCTCCTGACCCGCCCGCTGCTCCTCTCAGCAGTGTACTTCGTTGATCTGCCTGTTCTGCTCCCCACTCTGTCTCTGGTGAAGCCTCTCGCCGCCCCTGCACCTATGGCCTGTACCCCAGTTCTGTATGCATAAATAAATAAATCTTTAAAAAAAAAAAAAAAATCCTCTAGCTATAAAATTTAGACCAGTTCTAAAGCATTTGTTTTGAACTGGAGGCTTGCCTGTAAGTGAATTTTTAATTCATATTTTGTCTTGTTTAAGAAGCTGATCTTGGTGCACTGGAATTATGGAGAACTTCAGACTTGGGAAAAAGCTTCAAAACCATTGGTGTGAAGATATACTCGTTTGGCCTTGGGGGACGTTTCCTTTTTGCCTCTGTGATGGCTGATAAGGTAGGTGTTTGCTTCTCTTGTCTTTGGGTTCTGATATTGAGGTAAACATGCCTCACCTAGGTCTTGCTATTTGTACTGACAGCACTTTGTGCCTTTTGCAGTATTTAATGTCACTGTAAGACACGGGGTGATGTTTTTATGATCAGACTGACTTTCAAGCTACTGTGCACTTCAGGCTTTCGTCACATCAAGACCTCTAGTCTTGATTTCAGGATATGTTGGCCCAGTATTTGGGTTTTACTCAGACATGGATATCTGGGGAAAACAGAAATGGGTGGACTGAGACCTGCCATGTCGTAGGTACAGTTCTACATCTCAGGAGTGTAGCAGTGAACAACACAGATAAACGCCCTACTCCCAAAGCCTATATTCCACTAGGGAGCTAGATGCTAGGCTAATAAATATGATGTGACACCCCTAGAGCAGCGTCGGGAAAGCAGGAGCAGCAGGAAAGGAGTGGGGCTGGGCAGCGGGGACCTGGCGGCAGCTGGCACAGTCGGAAACACCCCTCAGCCATGTGGCTGTCCAGGCTGAGGAAACTGCTTGACAGTCCCCCACTGGAACATTCTGGTCGCTGGAGAACGGGGAGAAGTGGTCCAGAGAAGGGTGGTCAAGGTGAGGTCAAAACGGGGGCCAGCAGCCGCACACAGCGTCCTCACAAGGTCCTGCTGGGACTTGGTCTCACTTGGCATGGGCGGGAAGCTGGGAAAGAGTTGTAAGCAGGCGGTGGCATCATTTGACTTCTCTGTTGGCAGAGCAGGTGTGCACAGCGTAGCCCGATGGGACAGAGTGGCCGCTGTGAGCATAGCTGGGGGCTGTTGCATTAGGGACAGAGTGGGGGTGGGACCAGACCGTGACCAGTTGTGTGGGAAGAAGTGAGGAGATCGCGGATCTGTTTTTAAAGATGTCACCAGTGGGATTTGCCATTGGATTAGATGTGGATTGTGAGAACGAGAGGAGCTAAGGGTGGTGTTGGAACCTTTGGGCTGGATAACTGGGTGAGCAGTGGTGCCATTTCCTGAGATGGCCAAGACTGCAGGAGAAGCAGGTTTGTAAGAGAAAAATCAGAAGAACTGGGTTCTGATGATGAGGTGCCTATCAGAGAACCTAGGTGGAAATGTCACGTCAGCATTGGAGTAGATGAATCTCCCAGAAGGAGATGGCATTTGAGGTCATGCAACTAGATGATACCTTCTGAAGGAATTAGTAGGTAGGGAAGAGGTGGGAGGACTGAGCGAGCCCTGAGGCACCCCACATTCAAAGGTTGGAAAGGGAGGAGACCCAGCAAGGACTGGAGGGAGCCCTGAGGCACAGGCCATCGTGGAGGCATGAGCGCTCAGTGGGAGAGGAGTGCGGACCTGCGTCACGGAGGAGGCAAGCTGCTCTGGGAGATGAGTCCTGAGAATCACCCACGGGACTTTGCACAGCGCCAAGTGGACGGCCACGCCAGTGACCTGGAAGACAGCTTTGCCCAGTACGGACTTGGAGGGCTGATCAGAGTGAGGGAGAGGAGCTGCACAGGAGACACAGTAACTGCGATGAACCCTCCCAACAGCCCTAGGAACTAAAACTTTTGTCTCAGTTTTTATTTCAGGAAGTTGAGTAATTTGCCTGTGGTCACCCAAGGGTAGAGATAAACATTCCTAGATAGCTACTGTACTGCTACTCTGTACAAAATTTAAATTCTGCCATGTGCTTTTGAACTTTTGCTTCTATCTGCAACGATGAGAATAAGTTTCAAAGTAAATATCTAGGTATCCCTGTATAAGTTAGAAAAATAAGCGTACTTGTCACTCAACCTTAAAGAGTATTTAACATAAGGAAGTCCTGGGGCCTGGCCTCTGCTCTGGCTGCGCCTAGTAACTATTTTAAACTGTTTGTCAGAGAGTAGGAATTCATTGCTTTCTTAACAGACTTAAAGAACAACTAAATACACCTTGATCAGCTTTCTTATATTAACTTCCCACTCACCTGGGCCCCTCCCAGGCTGTGTATATTCCTGCCACCCTGGTTGTTCTCAGAGGCTTCCTTCCAGAGGAGGAGCACACCTGTGACTTGCCCTGTGAGTGACCAGCCTTGGCTTCCATGTTCTAGACCCTTAATCCACTAACTCTTGAACTACACCAGCACACGCGCAAAGGCACCGTATTTTTATGCAACTTTTCCTTTTACGAGTGCTCTGAGCAAGCGTATGTAAAGGCTGTGAAGCCGAGCTAGAGGCGGTCCCCTCAAACCCTTCCCTCTGTGAAGGCAGCTGGAGTGTCAGAGGTTAGGAAGATCTCTCACAGGCGTACAGGCGTGAAGAAGCCGAACGGGAGGCCAACATAAGCTTACTTACAATTGAACGGATTGTTCCACTGTCTGGAATTTTGCCAGTGGTTAAAAATTGCTTTGGTAATTGGTGCTGGAATCTTTCTGGGATCTTTCATTTGGAACAATTGTACCCAATGGCAAAACGAATAACGATACTTCTAATTCTTAATAAATACTGTTCCTAGTCATGGCATGAAAATTAGAAAGCTAAAAATTGCATTTGTCCTAGGATACAACAAGAAGGATTCACGTGTCAACCGACCATGGGGACACATGGAGCATGGCCCAGCTCCCCTCTGTGGGGCAGGAACAGTTCTATTCTATCCTGGCCGCTAACGATGACATGGTGTTCATGCATGTGGATGAGCCTGGAGGTGAGAGCTTTTAGTGGTGTATTCCTGCTGCCTACAGATTTAGGTGCTGAAGCTCTTTTGAGTAGCTTTCCTTCTTAAGTGTTGACTTTTCCTGCTACCCATTGGACTTGATTAGTGAATGCCCTGCCTCACAGGCAATAGGCAGCCTCTTATAAAAATGCCACTTGTGGCCCTCCCTGGTGGCCCAGCGGGTTAAAGCACAGCACTGAGAATCTGAGGCCACTTCCGCATGAGTTCGATTCCTGCCTGCCGCCTGCCCCGGAGGAGACCACATGGCGAGCCAGACCTCTCCTGACCCGCCCGCTGCTCCCCTCAGCAGTGTACTTCCTCAATCTGCCTGTTCTGCTCCCCACTCTGTCTCTGGTGAAGCCTCTCACCGCCCCTGAGCCTCTGGCCTGTACCCCAGTTCTGTATGAATAAATAAATAAATCTTTAAAAAAAAAAAAAAAAACACGCCACTTGTGGGCCCTCCCTGGTGGCACAACTGGTTAAAGTGCAGCCCCAGTTCTGTATGAATAAAAAAATAAATCTTTAAAAAAAAAAAAAAAAACACGCCACTTGTGGGCCCTCCCTGGTGGCACAACTGGTTAAAGTGCAGCACTGTGAAGCTGGCCATTGCTTCAGCACCAGTTCGATCCCCACCAAGGAGAGGATCCACATGGTGCAGCAGACCTCTCCTGTCCTGCCCACCACTCCCCTCATCAGTGTCCTTTGTCCATCTGCCTGTTCTGCTCCCCACTCTGTCTCTGGTGAATCCTCTCGCCGCCCTGCACCTCTGGCCTGTACCCTAGTTCTGTATGCATAAATGAATACATCTTTAAATCTTTTTTAAAAAGCATACTTTGTGTGTATGTCCAAGTTTCTAGATCAGAGCTTCTCAAAGAATGGTCAGAGGATTGGTATCAATTCACAACATTTTTGTTATTGGTGAGTATAGAAATTGAAAGAGAGCATTCAGAAACTTTCTTAAGATTTATTTTATTTATTTATACATACAAGAGCTGGGTTATAGGCCAGAGATGCCAGGGGTGAGAGGATTCACCAGAGACATAACAGTCAGAACAGTCAGACCTACTGAAATACACTGCTGAGAGGCACAGTGGTTGGGGCAGGAGAGGTCTGCTGTGCCATGTGGGTCAGCTCCCTGGCCAGGGATCGAACTTACACCATAGTGGCTGCTGATAGCTTCATAGTGCTGACACTTAACCCATTGCACCACTAAGAATGCCCCATTTAGAAACTCTTACAGCCATTTGACAGAGTAATTGTATAGCTATTGGCTGTAATGATAAAAAAAAAAAACCAGAGGGTTATATTTTGTCTTTTATATTTTATTTTCCTAGTGATTTTTACTTTGCAGAAGTATGAGTTTATGACATATTAGAAACTTAAACATGGATCATTCACCACAGAGTTTTTGAAGCATTGTTCTAGGGTGTAAAGATTTACAGATGTGTAATACATGAATCTAAATGTGCATCCCCTGCCACCAAAATATATCTGGAAAGAGCTTTTCAGAAGTTTATTCAGTCAATAAACTCACCATTTGCCATACTCTAGGCACTAAGCTGGGTACTGGCATGAAAGTTGGGTGTAAAGTTGCTGATATCAAAGCTGATTGACTCTCAGGTCTGTGCCTCAGTCACCAGGCAGTCGGCCCATGTGAGCAGGCAGTCATGTGAACGGTTAGACTGTCGTCATCGCTCTGCTCCATCCTAAGACTTAGTGTTTTTGTTTGTTTGCCTATTCCAGATACCGGCTTTGGCACGATCTTCACCTCAGATGACCGGGGCATTGTCTATTCCAAGTCTTTGGACCGGCATCTCTACACCACCACTGGCGGAGAGACAGACTTCACCAATGTGACCTCCCTCCGGGGCGTCTTCATCACAAGTGTCCTCTCGGAAGGTGAGCTTGACACAGCTGTTTTCAGCTGAACGTGTTGGGCATTGAGGCTTTAGGGGTGACTGGTGGCCTCCCTAACCCCCAGTGTGCTATGTACTTAGTCAGGAACCCTCCCCAAGTGAGTTCTGCTCTCTATTTTAAGTAAGGTATGGCAAACAGAACCAAGAAAGAACAAAGAAATAGCAGATAAAGAAATAGATTTCTGTGTCTAGAAATCTTTCTTGGGAAAGCTCATCTGGCTTCTGTGTTTTTGCCTTTGTCTAAATTCAGGCCCACAGGAATGAGCCCACTAGAAGCCACTTCTCAGCGTTTCTCCTTGTAGTGGGTAGAACAGTCACAGGCCAGGATTCTTGGTGGGTTCTGCTCCAGGATCTGCGGACCCTACCTTTGATACAAATAAGCACTTCAATGCACAAATACTCTTTTTTTAAAAAAATAATTTAGTTTTACATATTTTTGTGCATTTTTCCATCCATCTCTGTTGCAATCCCCTTGGGTTTCCCATAACCAAATCACCCATGTGCCATCACCATAGTCCAGTGCATTTCCCTCCCCCCCACTATGTTTGATCCCACTCCCCACTCCACCTCCACAAAATGTCTCTGGAATATAGCTGTTCATATTATCATTATTTTCTCGCCTGTTCCGTTATATTCCAGAAACCATCTGGTATTTTTTCTTTTCTTTCTGGCTAATTTCACTAAGCATGATCTTTTCCAGCTCCATCTATGTTGCTGCAAAAGACATGTGTTTCTTTTTTTTGGTTGCTGAGTAATATTCCATTGTGTATATGTACCACATCTTTTTAATCCAGTCATCCGCTTTTGGGTAATACACAAATACTCTTAAGCTTTTGTTTATCTTTGTTTTTGTTGTTGTTGGTGGTGGGGTGGGGGTAGGTATCTGTCATCACTTTGTGAAGATCTTGCAATGCTCTACAAGGTTCTAAGTGATAATGACCCTCTATTTACTCTCTGACCTCACCTCCAACCCTTCTCTTCTTCATTCTCTCTTCTGGTCACTCCCGTCCTCTGCCAGTTCTTAAACACACCAAGTTATACACCTGTGGCTTCAAGACCTGTACCCACAGCTACAAGGCTGACACCTCCCTTTGTGTCCTTGAGTATTTTTTATTTTCTGAAGGAGACCCACCCTGACAATCATATTTTGAATTTCGGTTTGCATGCTTGTATACACACACACACACTCACACTCAAATCCTCTTTTTCTGTGCAAGTTTTTTCCCCGGAGCACCTATTTCCTAACATATAATTTGCTTATTTTAATGTCTAGTGTTTGTCTCACTCTACTAGAATGTATGCCTCACAGAGTTTTGTTTGTTTTGTTCACTGATATATTCCCAAAGGCTCACAACAGTTTTCACAAGGCAAGCATTAAAATAATTCTTGAATAGATGAATTTCCTTTCTTGTTTGATTTTCCTTGGAAAACTGAAAGCATGTTACCTCTGAATTTAAACTGGCAACTCTTCAAGATATTGAAAAACAGGTAGAGGATATGGGACAGTGGAGAGACAAAAATTAGGAATGTTTAATTCACAGTCATGCACACACATTGAGGTTACCTAAAATAAGCCTGGTGCCATGACTTTGTCTGAGTGAAGTCTAGGATACCTCCCCGTCGAGACTCTGCTTCAAGGCGAGTGAGCACCGAGGAAGAATGAGTGTTACTAGTCTGTGGTGTTGGTAAGGAGACGAGCAGACTCTCTCTCGAATAGCATTCTGGTGATTTCTGGAACGAGTGGACCCTGTTCGGGGGGGAAGCCTGTTCAAATTCCGCACCGAGCTGCTGCCAGTTACTCAGCGACACGGAGCCACTTTGTCGGGCCTCCAGGGTTGTGCTGACAGTTCGTGGGCTCAGGAGAGTTACGCCACGACCAGTGAATTTAAGAGGGCGCTGCCAGTGGATCAGGCTTAATGTCATTCTTTTCCCATTCAGATAACTCTATCCAGACTATGATCACTTTTGATCAAGGAGGAAGGTGGAAGCACCTGAGGAAGCCTGAAAACAGTGAATGTGATGCTACCGCAAAAAATAAGAATGAGGTTTGTTTTACTCCAATTGTCATGTGTACTTGGAGCAAAGCAGCCGTTCTGTCCTGCTCTTACCAGTTGCTTTTGAATGAAGTTTTGTTCTTGATAAAGGGCGCATGGCTAAAGCTGGAAAACTTGGAAATGAGAGAATGACATTAACTTAGAATGAAGGGACTAGAAACTGTGAAAAAGTGAAAATATTATGGATTATTCATCTTTCAAAGAAAAAAACTGCAGGCTAACAGTTTGTGTTTCATTATACTGCTGAATGAAAGAACTGGCAGAAGGTGGGCTGGTGGTTAGCTAGGAGTCAGCGTGGTAGCGCTGGCACTGAGAAGCCAGAGACAAGCAGTCAGGAGCAGGGCAGAGCTGGGCTGAACAGGTGGGAGAGGGGAGCTGCACCACCCCACCTGGGTTCCCCCGCTGATGGGTGTGAGGAGGACCAGGCCCTGACAGCACAGCTGGTCCCCCTGAGGGGAGTCCGAGAACTAGAAAACAAAGGCGTTGCAGGGGGTCCCGGATTGCAAGAGTGACAGGTCTTGACAAGCAAGAAAAAAGAGAAAGAAAACACCTTTGTGCCTGGCTCTTACAGACACAAATTTAAGAGGTGCTTAGCTGAACCCTGGAACTTCTCTTCAAAAAACGAAGGTGTTGGCAGCTCTCAAGCACTCCTCAGCCCTGTGGTGGAGCCCTCTCTGCTGTTGCGGGCCAGGCGTTCTGGTTTTGTTTTAAAAACCTCAGACAGCGACATAAGCGCACCTGCCCACCTCTGCTCTCCCTCCACCCCTCTTTCCTCCCCTCGCTGACTGCCCTGCGCCTGCCCTCCCATGGCAGCCTCCAGGAGCGGCACCCTGGCTTGCCTCTGGCTCCTCGACACCTGAGATGTGCCTCTGGCGTGGTGGTGGAGGTCCAGTCCACCCCGCCTGCCTTTTCGTTGTCATTTCACATTTTTTTCATGGATGTCGCCCCTGTTTTACCTTCTGCTGCTCCCGGAGCCCCTGCATGCACCCCCAATGTTACCTTGCCCACATTATCCTGGGGGAGCTGTGCCTCCCCCCACACCCACCCAGTTAAGATTAATGGAAATCTGAGCCATGAATTTGAACTCATCCTTTGCTTTATTTCAGTAATAGCTTGCTTGAACTTTTTTTACTGGAGTAAAATACACATGACCTAAAATTGACATTTTAACCAATTTGAACCTCCGCTAAAGTACTAACTTCCATTCTGCTTTATACCTCCATGTATTTCTGAAAAATATTCTTAAAGACCAGATTGGGTCTGATTTCCAATCACTACCACATCTTGTACAGTGAAATATGTCAAGTGTACATCAAGTTTACTTATGTGGAATCATACTTTAAGTATTAATCAGAGGCTTTAGTATAATGCAGGAATAAAAATCAACCAAAGTTACATGTGAGGAAATAATTGCATTGTTTATTTCCAAATATACTGATGTATTTTAGAATTAGGAATCTCCTACTAAGCCTATAACTCATCACTCCACACACACAAATCCTAATGAAAAAATAACATAAGAGTTGAATAAACATTTCTCTAAATGGCCAATAAGCATACAACAAGATGTTCAACAACACTAATTACTAGTGAAATGCAAAGCACAACCATGAGATACCACCTCACAGCTGATAGGATGACTCTATTTTTTTTAAAGTCCAAAATAACCAAGGAGAAATTAGAACTCTTAGGCACTGTTCATGGGAGTGAAAAATGGCACAACCACTTATGGGAAGCAGTGTGGTGGTTCCTCAGAAAATTCAGTGTAGACCTTCATGGGAACTAGCAATTTACACTTCTGGGTATAGACCCTGAAGAACTGAAATCTGGGCCTCAGGAAGATGCTTGCACACCCACGTTCACAAACAGCATTATTCATAATGGCCAAAAGGTGGAAGAAACTTAAGTGTGTTTTGACAGATGAATCAATAAGCAAACTGTGTACACACGCAGCAGAATACTATGCAGCCTTCAAAAGAGAGGGTTCTGACTGGTGGCAGCAAAGAGGAACTAGGGGTGTTGTGCTAAGTGAAATCACTGGTCACCAAAACCAAATACCATGTGGCTCCATTTATGGGAGACACCCAGGTAGCCAGCCGCTCCATAGACACACAGATAGAATGGGGTTGCTCAGGGCTGGGGGCGGGGGTGGGGTGGGGAGAGAGTTGTTTAACAGGAAGAGTTTCTGTTTTGTAGGATGAAAATATTCTGGAGGTGGATGGTGGTGATGGTTGTGTAACAGTTGATGCACTTACTGTACTGGGCTGTACATTTAAAAATGGCTGGTGGCAGGTTTCACTGAGTGTGTATTAAAGAGACACAGAGTTTCCCCATGAGGCCTCCCTTAAGTTTAACACCTATGAGAAGGCTCTGTGAGATGACTGGACCTTTGATTTTAATCTAAGTTTTGATTTCTCTTCACAGTGTAGCCTTCATATTCACGCGTCCTATAGCATCTCCCAGAAGCTCAACGTCCCTATGGCCCCGCTCTCGGAGCCCAATGCCGTGGGCATCGTCATCGCTCATGGTAAGCAGCCCCTCCTCGCTGCAGGCCAGGGTGGCCGCAGCCTCAGCCTGAACCCCAAGGCGTCGCAGGCCGTGCCATAGCTGGCTGTGCAGTTTCTTGTAGAATTTCTTGCATGACCATGATATTTCGGGTCTTTCATAAACTCCCATCAGAGAGACAACATGGCTTCCCCTGCCCCAAACTTTCAGTGGCCATTTTTCCTATTATAAATGGCACGATGGGGCATAATCAGGATAAATCTATTCAGTTACTCTCCCAGCAGTAAATCTGTTTCTTTGCTGATGGGGTGGATTGTGTTGCAGGCAGCGTGGGGGATGCCATCTCAGTGATGGTCCCAGACGTGTACCTCTCGGATGACGGGGGTTACTCCTGGTTGAAGATCCTGGAAGGACCCCACTATTACACTATCCTGGATTCCGGAGGCATCATCGTGGCCATCGAGCACAGCAGCCATCCTATCAATGTGATTAAGTATGCATGAGCTCAGCTCCTCCGCCCCACTGCAGAGAGGGCAGTTGGGGTGTCCTCAAGTTTGTTGGGGGGGAGTTATGGACCCTGATCCAAAATTAAGCACCCTACAGAACTAGGGGGCATGTTCTTGAAGGGAATGCATGTAGAATAACTCAGTTTGCATAGCTTTTCTTCCCTCTGACTGTGTCTGGCTAACACATTTCATCACTTTTTAAAAATATTCTTCACAAGAATGTTGTGGAAGTTTTTAAATACTCAGGATGGGAACTGCTCTAAATTTTATAAAATACATTTTGTTTGTTGACTTGGGAGCCCACTTCCCTGGGTCGGCATCTTCTTTTCCGGAAAGACTTTTTATACAGGAATTGTTTTTTTACGTGCTCCTTGAGTAAATTTCTTTCTCCTACCCTGTTAGCATGACACTAAACAGTATTATTAAGTACTAGAAGTTGCCAGTCAGCCAGCCATCACCTAGATGCGAGGTATGTCTGTGTTCCAAGCGCCAGACGTTTCCCGACATGGCCACAGATGCTAACCCTGTCACGGCCTTCCTGACTGTGTCTCAGGTATTCCACAGACGAAGGCCAGTGCTGGAAAACCTACACCTTCACCAGGGAGCCCATCTACTTCACTGGCTTAGCCTCGGAGCCTGGAGCTAGGTCCATGAACATCAGCATTTGGGGCTTCACGGAGTCTTTCCTGACGCGCCAGTGGGTGTCCTATACCATCGATTTTAAAGATATTCTTGAAAGGAACTGTGAGTATTGCCTCTGACCTTTCTACCAGAAATTTGTGAACCCATTTTCCTAAATAACCAATCTGGTTTAATTTCTTTTAGCTGGGATAAGAAAATTCACATGAAAGACAGTTAAAAGATTTTCCTTTTGGGGTCATCAAAATGGTATTAGAAAAGCAGTTCTTTGGACCAGCCCTGTCCAAGATAATTAAGATGAGGGCCATATATGTAATTTAAATTATTTTTTAGAGGTAAAATTAATTTTAAAAATATGTTCATCTCAGTACATACCAAGTATTATTTCAACACGTAAGCAATATTAATTATTAATGATATAATCTGCATTCTTTTTCTCTGAGTCTTCAAAATCTGTTATATAAGTTGCACTTACCCTTATAGTCAGCCTCAGTTCACATCAGCACCCTGTCGAAGGCTGCCATTCAGCTTTGCCGGGTGGAGCGCCTTAACGTTTTTTTCTGCTTGTAAGATTAACACATGCTTATGTTTATCTAAAATTACATTTCAGGATTTTGACCAATGATTACCAGCAGAAACTTACAGAGAAAACTTGAAGTGCAAAGAACATCTAATTAAGTGTGTCCCTTGTCAAAACTGTTAAAGTGAGCAAGTTTTTTGTTTTTTTTTTAGGATTTATTTATTTATACATACATACAGAACTGGAGTACAGACCAGAGGTGCAGGGGCGGTGAGAGGATTCAGCAGAGACAGACTGACAAAGTACACTGCTGAGGGGAGCAGCTGGAGCTGGAGGGTCAGGAAAGGTCTGCCGTGCCATGCAGGTCACCTCCAGGGTGGGGATCGAACTTATGCTGAAGTGGCTTTAGCTTCTTAGTGCAGTGCTTCAACCTGCTGTGCCACCAGGGAGGGCCCTAAAGTGAGCAAGTTTTTAAAGAGAGTTTTGGCTTGAGTGTCAGTCATGACTGAGGCTCTTAAAAGGCGACTGGGCAGTCATCAAGCCCACACTGACCACTTCTGAGTCCAGTTACTTCAAATTAGAAGGCATGTTTAAAGGCCCAGAAAACGGCTTCAGCAAAGGGGTTAGAATGTTTATGGGAAGGTGTATCTACAGAATCAAACCCAGCCCCAGTACCAAAGGTTCTGACATTGTACTGAAAAATATGGTGGATAAGAGAAAAAGTACTGGGGCCTCCCTGGTGGTGCAAGGGTTTGAGGCACAGCACTGTGAGGCTGTGTGCAGCCCCTGCAGCATGAGTTCGATCCCTGACCCCAGAGGTGACCCACAGGGTGCAGCAGACCTCTCCTGTCTCACCCTCTGCTTCCCTCAGCAGTGTATTTCAGGAGATCTACCTGTTTTCCACTCTGTACCTCTGTCCTGTACCCCAGTTCTTGTATGCATAAATAAATAAATCTAAAAAAGAAAAAGTACTGGAGAATAAGTGACTATGTGTGCCCTGTAGTAACATGTTAGAGTAATATGAGAGAAGACAAGGTTTCAAGATGCTTTGCTGAATTTTGGTCCTGGCTTCTGGATAGCACCGTGGGTCCGAGATGTTAGAACACTAGTTAAATGACTCCAGGAGGAGGCAGACACCCCCGGTTTGGACCTTACTTTCCTACTAGATTTTTAAATGAGATTTAACACCAGACAGCCATTATGTTCTCAGTTCATTAAGAAGGCTATAAAGGCGCTGGCTCTCGAATTTCCCCTCAGCAGGCAGCCCTCGAGTTTCCCCTGAAGTTTGATGTCATTCTAAGATTTGTTAAGTGTCTGCTCTTTAACAGCCCCTGTGCTGGTGTTCATACCCCAGAGGATGAAAACCTAACCCACCGCCTTTAGTTCACACCTTTGGAGTCACTTTTCCAGGAGTGCGAGAGGCAAGATACTCAGCTAGCTAACTGACGCCGGCAGTCTTCACCTGAGAGCTGGCTGACTCGCGTTAAAAGTCTCGAAAGAGAATGTTTCCCTTTCTGTTGGAGCAAACCGGCTCGCGGGGCCACTGTCCTGAGGAAGGGACCTGCAGCCAGAGCTGGGCTGCTCCCTGGGCCTGGAAGGGGCCTCCAGGGCAGCTCCCTCGGCAGGCGGAACCCACAAGGCTGCTGTAGGCCTCAGAGGGCCGCGGCGGGAACAGGCCCCAGGCCCAGGGAAGGCCGTGCGCGGGCGCCCCAACGCTGCTCTCGCTGCGCCGTGAGGGGGCCGCCGCCGCCCCTGGTGTGGCCGCGCTCTGCGCCAGGCCGCTTCCTGAACAGCCTGCCTGTGCTCTAGGTGAGGAGAAGGACTACACCGTGTGGCTGGCTCACTCCACAGACCCCGGGGACTCCGGGGACGGCTGCATCCTGGGCTACAAGGAGCAGTACCTGCGCCTGCGCAAGGCGGCCGTCTGCCAGAACGGCCGGGACTACGTGGTGGCCAAGCAGCCGTCGGTCTGCCCCTGCTCCCTGGAGGACTTCCTCTGGTACAGCCCCGCGCAGCGCCCCGCGCCCTCCCGCGTCCCGTCTCGCAGGGCCGACAGGCCACGGTGCTGGGTGGTCTCCGCTCTCCTCCCCAAGAGTGGAGCTGGGCTGCTGACCAGAAGCGGGAGCAGGGCTGTTAGGCGCCGACAGATGGCATTGCACTGCGCGAGGGCTGGGCTCCTCGAGGCCGTGCTGGCCCGGTGCTCTGCTGCGGCCTGTCCCAGGCGCTGTCCCAGCCCTGCGGGACAAGAGCTGCTGTCTGTCCATCCCACCTAGCCGGGAGCCTGGCGCCCTGGGCCTCCACAGGGACGCACTTCATAGCCCTGAGTCCAGAGGCCCAGCCTGTCAGCTCATCGCCCCGGGAAAGCGCGCCCAGTCTCTGTGCCCCTGGGGGCCTTGGTCAGTGCTGGTCTCCCTGGGTGGCGCCCCAGCCGCCCAAGGCTGGCGTAGGAACCGTCCACTGCCCACATAGCGCCTCATCGTTTGTGGCTTCTGTCTTTCAGCAGCTTTGAAAGGTACTTTATTTGCTGACTCTTGCAGTGATTTTGGCTACTTCCGTCCAGAAAATGACTCCAAGTGTGTGGAACAGCCAGAACTGAAGGGCCATGACCTAGAGTTTTGCCTGTACGGAAGAGAAGAGCAGCTAACAACGAATGGGTGAGCTGGCCGCTTCTCCCTCATTGCGGCCGAGGAAGCACCGTGTTCAGGCTGGAATGCTGCTGCTCTCCACCTGGAGCTGCATGATACTTTAGAAAACTCCAGAAAAACACTGTCTAACACAAGGATGGAAGTGTTCTGTAATCCCTATGTCTGACATAACCACCAGCCCATTGTGTGTCTGTCAACACTAGCACAAAACTGAGGAACGGAGTTAATTTTGACTTAAAGTGCCTCCTGGAAGAGCTCGTCACCTCCTTCTCCTGAGAGGCGCCCTCCCAGGGCTGCCCCGCATTACATGCTTTCCTTGGTGTGAGCTCTGCAGGAGTCACTTAAGGCGAAGGACAGGCCTGTCCCCTGACCACCATCCTGTGGGCCTTCCCTCAGCCCTGAAAGGTGGCGTCAGGATGAGAAGCTTCTCTTCTACTTTTAGATGTTGTCTTTGGAAAATAGGCAAGAATCCAGAAACAGAATCTTGTTGTACTTTGTTAAAGTTTTTCTTCCTTTCAGGTACCGGAAGATTCCAGGAGACAAATGCCAGGAAGGAGTGAATCCAGTTCGCGAAGTAAAAGACTTGAAAAAGAAATGCACGAGCAACTTTTTAAGTCCAAAAAAGCAGGTATGTCCAGGGAGATCGGGCTTAGGTAGAGTAGGTCTGTGTCCTGCTAGTCGAGTCACAACCAGTCTCGGGCACCGTGTCGCTGGCTACGAGGGGCCAAAGTGCCCCTGCAGCGCCCACGGGGTAGCCGTGAGCACGAAGGCGGGCCACCTACTACAAAGGCAGGCACCTCCTGCTGAGCATTTTTTGTGGGGGGGGGGAGGCACTCTGTAAAGTTGTTCCAAGTCTTAGAAGCGTAGAACTGAGGCTATTTCTGAGGCTCGGAGTCATTTAGGGGGGAAGCCCAAGAAGTTTGGCTGCCAAGGCCAGCATCTGGAAGAGAAGAGCACAGGCTCGGAGGGTGGGTCTGTGCGGAGTCACGCAGGGTGCTCGAGATGGCCAGCTGACCATGAGGTAGGGGCTGCTTTGGGTGGAGAAGCAGTTACCTGTGTGTAGCCCTCACCCCCTTTGCTGGGACCAAGGCTATGGCAAAGCAGGAGCCTCTTGATAAAGAAGCAGTGGGCCAGCAAGGAGCCTGGGGCAGTAACCCTAGTCCCTTTCGGAGGAGAGGGTGAGTGGGACTCTGCAGCCCCTGCCCTCTCTGTGGCGGAGATGAGGGCCTCACCAGTGTAGGCAAGGAGGCAGTGAGAGAAGAGCATGCAGGTGTTTTGTGGGAACATGCCTCCTTCCCACCACCGCCACTCCCGGTGCTGTCCTCAGTCTCTGAGGTGCAGGACACCCCTCCAGCCCAAGAATCCAGCTCTGTCTCCTCCTCAATACACTGAAAATACACATTCCTGACCTCCCACCCAGAGGCAGGTAGGTCACACTCACACAAAAAGAGTTACTTGTAAAAATATAGCAGGTGACTGCTGGTGAAAATGCAAACTAGTACAACCACTATGGAAAACTGTTTGGAGGTTTCTCAAACTGCTAAAAATGGAGCTTCCATATGACCCAGCAATCCCACTCCTAGGTATCTACCCAGAAGACACAAAAATACTGATTCAAAAAGACACCTGCACCCACATGTTTATTGCTGTGTTATGTACAATAGGAAAGACATGGAATCAACCCAAATGCCCAAAAGTAGATGACTGGATTAAAAAGATGTGGTACATATACACAGTGGAATATTACTCAGCAACCAAAAAAGATAAACTCATGCCTTTTGCAGCAACATGAATGGAGCTGGAAGGGATCATGCTTAGTGAGATAAGCCAGAAAGAAAAGGAAAAATACTGGATGGTTTCACTCATAGCAGGAGCATAAATGACCAGGGGAGAAAATAATAATAATAATGAACAACTATATACCAGAGACATTTTACAGAGGTGGGGTGGGGAATGGGATAAAAAATGGGGTGGGGGGAAGTGCACTGAACCATGGTGATGACACACGGTAAATTGGTGGTGGGAAACCCACGGGTATTACAACTGAGATGGGAAAAGGCACAAAATAATGTAAAAATAAACGATTATATTATTTTTTTAAAGTGGGGGGAAAAAAACACAGGTTAAAAAAAGAAGCCCTGGTGTCCTGGTCTAGCACTGCACAACTTCTTCCTGGTGATGCTGTGGACAGTCACAGTTGCCATTTGATCTAGACAATTCCAAGGCTGCCCTTGTCACTTGGCCTGGGTTTGCAGCATTCTGACTGCTTCAGAGCAGCTGGCACTTGGTGGGGGAGGGGAGGCAGCTGTGATCCTCTGGTAGAAATGAGATGGTCGGATTGGGGGATCAGAAAATTACCGCAGGTAAATGCCTGGAGACTGTAGATTATTCACCGAGAAATGAAGTGAATGAGCAGCCTCTTTGAACTCAGTCCTAGACCATACACACCTAAAATTGTGATTGTGTTTCGTTTATCAAGAGCTCCAAGTCAAATTCTGTTCCGATTATCCTGGCCACTGTGGGATTGATGCTGGTCACGGTCATAGCCGGGGTGCTCCTTGTGAAGAAGTACGTCTGTGGGGGCAGGTAAGGACCTCGGAAGGGGCTCAGAGGAACTGCACTCGAACCAGAAAGTCAGCCAGGGGCATCTGGGGGAGTCTCTTCTTGGCAAAAACTTTGCTAGTTGAAGTTCTTGAAACATCAAGACAAATCTGTGGGTTATGCTTCCTGTTTGTGTGGCTCGGCCCGCTGTGCGCACTAAATGCGGAAAGCCTGCCGGCCTCTAGAAGTGCGCCCCCTAACCACGAGGGGCTAACCGCGGTCTCCCCGCAGGTTCCTGGTGCACAGGTACTCTGTGCTGCAGCAGCACGCGGAGGCCAACGGCGTGGACGGCGCCGACGCTTTGGACACGGCTTCGCACGCTGATAAAAGCGGTTATCATGATGACTCAGATGAGGTGAGGGCCTAAGTACGGGCAAAGGTGACTCTTCCCCTGGCCCTCGCCAGTGCGGGCGCTACCAAGAGGGGATAAAGCTAGAAGCAGTAACTTAAGGGCGCCGAGGGTTGGCCGCCCCCGGCCAGGTTTTTACCAGGAACCCGTCCACCTGCAAATAACATGGCCTGTGTCTGTCTTTGCAGGATCTCCTGGAATAGCTCCTCGAGGGAGCTGGGACCAAGCGTGGATGGTGGAACCACAGTACCTCTTACACTCCCTGTGGTTCCAACTTAGGGAAATAAATTTCCCTTTGCAAGGGACCCAGCTCTGTTTCTGCTGCTTCCGTCAAAGCCAAAAGGACCTTCACTAAAGAAATGCAGGGGGGACCCTAAACACTCACAATTGGCTCTGCAAAGGGGGGGTAATTTTTAATTCTTTAACTGTTTGTTTCTACTTCTGTCTTTCTGCAAAACATAAGCTGTTTGGTTTTGGTTCTTAAGGGAAACAGAATGGATGTTGAAGGGAAAGTGTGACTAACCCCACGCTTGCATGTGCTGCACGCCCTTTCCGCGGGGCACCTGTCACCCCAGCTCGACTGTCCCGATGCTGGCCCTGGGCTCCGCTGGTGGCAGAGCAGCTGCAGAGATGAGCGCAGAGGCCACAGTAACTGGCACCGCCTGGGCAGCCCCTCCCTTCCGGGGCTGCAGCATTGCACACCCGCTGCACACACTGACCCTGCTTGTCCCCCTATTTTCAGGGACCACAGGCCACAGTGGTTTTCCCTTTTCAATAGGCAGTGCCCTTGCTAATTGCACTTTGGCAACTAACTTAACCATGTGCTTCCAAAACACTAAATCAGGAAAAGTAAAGGGCAATATTTTTAACTTGGGGTGGGAGGAAGGGAGCAGCAGAGAGTTGACTAGACGTCGCACCTACTGAAAGGGAGAGTCTTGCTTCTTCTGACGCCTCTCAAGCCACTTTGTGCGTGTGCCAGGGATTTGTTCAAGGTCGGCTGCCTGGGTGCATGCCCAGCTCTGTGCGCCAGCTTGGGCTGATGGCGGTGTGCATGGCGCACCCGCAAGAGCTGGCCCTCACCCTCTTCCGCTTCCCCTCCAATCATGTGGGCTCCTGGTCACTCATGGTAACGGCTGCTCATCTGCTTCCTCTTAGGTGATGGTGGTGGTACAAGGAGCCAGAACTAGAATGTGGTTTTAGATTTATAGGCTTTAAAAAAAAAAAAAAAGATGAGAATTTTATTAGCAGACTCTCCTCACCCCACTTCCCCAGCTTTGCCAAGTAATTTACTGGCATGGAACTTTGGCATGAATCAAATTAAAACATACTTCCACTCTAGCTGATGCTTTGTATGACACATTGAGCTCATGTTTTTAAATTGGGGAAGTTTTCCATTTGACATTTTTTAAATTAAGTGGATTATGGAATAGAGTGAGCTGGGGGTGTCACGTGGTAATGGAAGACTGCAGTAGTTTGAATACAGCTTGAATATTTGCTATATAGGAGTGTAGTGTAGTAAGTTTTCATCTTAGTCTTCTGTGCAGGTCACAGTTTCTCCCAATGATTATGAGTGATCAGAAGAGCCTTTGGTAAATGCCATTTTGCTGCTAGTTTATTTTATGGCTAGAAAGTCAGTAAAAAGCAAATGTGCCAAATTAACTTTTATCAGACTGTGTGAGCAGATGGCTAAGTTCTCTCCTCTCCAGAATGCATTAACAGCAGCAGGGGAGGTGGGGGAGGGAGCGCATGGAGAATTTTAGAGACTTCGTAGCTGCAGTAAAATTAAACAAGTCAGGGAGCTTCAGTTAGAAATGAACTTAGGGCTGTTTTGGCGATGAGAATTAATACTTGTTAGAGCCAAAGCACTAGTCTTTTAGGAAAAGCACATTTGTTTTGCATATTTTTTTAATTAAAATAATTCCAAAGACTCACCAGCTCACAGATGATGAGTGGCGGCCCTGGCCCCATCACCTCCTGCCCAGAGCAAGCCGATGCCCAGAGAAGACACCCCCACACACACAACACTGCTCCCCACGCGTGGGCCTCTGTACCTGCGGGAGTCCCGGCTTCATTGTAAAATGTAGGAAGGTTCATATTCTCTAAAGAGAAGACTGGTCCTCCGAAGACATCTGACGTCTGTAGAACCTGGCAATGTCCAGAAACTGTCACCTGCATCATGTCATCTGAATTCTCACATTCTTAACGAATTTCTTTAAATGCCATTTTTTGGAAAACGGGGTTGGAATCTCCATTTTTTGGAACGATGACTGATACTGAGCGCAAACATTGTGTCGTTATGAGGAATGCCAGTCTGCTGTCTGTAGGAGACAAAAAGGTTAATGCCCTGCTGAGCGCCCCAGCAGACCCTGCCTGGGTCTGGCTGGCTCCTCTCAGGACAGGGCCGGGCATCTCTCAGAGCAGTATTTAGCACTTTGCCATATGAGTGAACAGTTATTTCATGGCTAAAAATTAAAATAGTGGTAATCTTGAACATGTGTTTGGAAACTGCCTTTCTCCTCCCGGGGGTCCCATTAAGGGTTCAGGAGTGGGGCCACCACTGGGGAGTCCCCCCTCCCACGCCCCAGCCCTGGCCAGTTAGCAGGGTTTCTGCATCGGCTAGTCACTCACAAACTCCTGCTCCCTGCCAGGGAGTAACACAGACTACACTTTCGAAGATCAAAATGATTTCTAATTTTTCTTACTGGTGTGAGGTTCCAAGCGTTGTCTTTGAAAGTTAAGCAAATTCCCAGGCTTCCTGGAGCAGAAGAGATTATTTCTGGAAGTTTCAGCAATAGAATTTTGCATCATAAGGTAGCTAGACATACAGACTATCCAAAGTAGCCTGAGTTCCAACACCCAGGGGAGAACTCACCATCCTTCCTGCTCCGGGGACAGGTGTCTTGAGCCTAAGGGGCATGTGGTTTGCAGTGAGACTGGGGAGCAGACATGCTCACAGCTGGGCTGTTCTTTGAAAGGGAGCACTGCTCAGCAGCAAGCGTGGGGGTGGCGGCAGCTGTAGGTGGGCATCTGCCACCACGTGGCTTTCCGTTGTGTGTCTCTCTATTTGCCCCTGGCTCTACTTGCCCAGGCTTGGTCTGACACATCAGCAATGTGCTGGCACCTGCACTCCTGGGCTGGCTTCCTAACCTGTAGCCGCTGCCCCCTGGCCTCGTCACTATACTGTGGTAGACGGGTGCAGGGCCTTCCACGACCACCCCAGGTGGCAGGGCCGGCCTGGCTCACGTCCCTCACTTCCCATCAAATCCAGCTTTCCTTCCTGGAAAGCTCTAGAGAGCCCTGCCTCCTGCACACACACACCCCCCCATAGCAGCCTCTGATGCCGTATGAAGCCTAATGAGCAGATCCGCTAGACTAGGAAGCGATTCAGCTTTTCCACTTTGCTGCTACATTCCGTCAAGCAGGAAAATAAACTTGGACTTAATTTTCTTTGAACAAAACCAAAGTTTCAGATTTGCCAGAGGATGGAGTGATTGGGGGGGGGGGCAGGTTTCCAGTGCTGGCCTCAGCAGGTGCGTGGCTCTCATTCCTTCGCCCACTACCTGTCTGCCCTGGCAGAGCCCATGCCTGGCCCTCGTGGGAGGTAACAGCAGGAGCATGCTGACTTCTTGGTCACATTGCATAATAAAAATAAGAACCAGAACATTAATTTGAAATTGTCTTCAACAACTTGCGGTATGCGTTTTTTCGCACAAGTACATCTTAGCATCCTTGTTTTTATAGAATAACAAACTAACCCATACCTTTATATATATATATATATA